TCATAAAGTATATCTAGGTAAACAGTAAAACTTAAATTTTAGAAGGCTAAAATTAGGTCAAGAGTACCAATTCTTGATTTAAAATTGCATAGCTACTCACTGGTGAGAATATAAGAATTGCAGTGTACAAATGTGCAGTGAATTACATTTGGACTTCCTGAAACTCTTTTTTATCTGTGGCCTGAGTCTGAGCCCACGTGCATATTGGCTCATGTAACATTTAAGTAAAATTAGTAACAAGTTATTCACCCAAAATTCTCCATCATCAATTCTACCTACAAGCTTTCATCTGGATGAGAGAACAAAATACTGCAAGAAAACAATCTTCAGCTCTAAGGTCAGATGTATTGGAAAAGCAATGACTTCCTAGAAAAAGACATTTTGTTACAATTAATTCACACAGGATAAAATTCAGTGTAAACTTATACTCCACACAATGCTGACAAAAAGTGCCAGATCTAATGTGCTGAAAGCTGAGCTAAAGTTTGACTTAATGCATGTCTGAACCTCTCCAGTTAAGCACTGCAATTAAAAAGTATTAAATAAATAATATTTCATGTTTTGACAAAGGAGGGAAATCTTGTTATTTAGCTTTGACACAGATGTGGAGAATTTGATTTTTCTCAGAAAGAAATGTGAATATAGAGATACGACACTCATTCTTTCCAATGGAGAAGCAGCACTTTGGGATTAGGTGAGAATACATTCAGTCGCACAACAAACAAATTAATTTGGAACCGTGATCTTCTTCAGCAATGTCTGAAGTTGTATTTTCAGGGAATTCAATCATGTCAGTTAGACTGGTAATGGTAGAGAAAAACAATCCAGAAAAGCGGATGGGCGAATGTACACATACAGACACAAATCAGGCATTGGCTATATATTTTTCTCTTTGCTGGCAACCTTTGAATAAATATATCTTCCTTTATTCTAGGGGAAAAAAAAAAAAAAGAAAAAAAGGCTAAAGAGATTCTATGGCAACTCTAGAGAGTGAAGTGCATGTCATTACTTACTCATTCAGATGTTGGAATCTTTCTTGCCAGTTAGCAGCTCGTGCTACGTTTCCAGTTTTATCAATTAGTTTTATTCCAAAAAACTCCAACATCATTTTGTAAGCCAAAAGGAATCTTCTAATTGCTTCTTTTGTTTTCTTGAATTCCTAATAAACAACAAATACGTCCAAAATTCTAAGTTGCAATAAAGCAAGTTCTTCTGCATTGTATGAAAAACTCTACATAACAAAAAGCAATTATGTATCACAATTAATGTGATGGTTTGTATTGAGCTCAATTTGTATTACCTCAATTTCATATGTAGTTAATTCTTTAGCATAGAAGTTCAGACCTTGTTCCCTCAGTGGGAAAAGCCTGTTAAATGAAACAGAGCATTACAGCTCATGGTATATGAAAACTTAATCAAATTAACACTTTGAAACAGAAATAGGTAATAAGTGACCAACCACTGTATGTAAGTGTGGTTATGTTCCAGTTTTTCATAGTCTCCTTTCCATTTATTTAGGACTTCTTCAATATAAACTCCTGCATAAAAATAATTTGAAAATTGTCAGGTAGCCATCAAAACCAGCATTCAGCTACATAAAGTACATGCCATGAATACATACTTAAATTCTCTTTGACATGCTAAATGAAACAAGGTCTATTACAGCCATAAATAAATTCATTTTAACTTAAAATTATTTTAGTTACTAAAACTTAATTAAAAATAAGACCTTTATCAAATTTCAATATAAACAAACCCAATTAATTTATACTGAGTTTCTTACCAGTAGAGAGTATGTGACAATAACCTCTAAAATTTACTTGCTCACAAGTTCTCATGTCCTAGATTCCTTTATCACAGTGACTGGTAATTAAGAAACCACTTACATAGAATATTGCATTGTGAGTCATCTGTCATTCCTTTAACGTGACAAAACTCTGCATA